CTTTCTAATTACTTCTCTCTGTTTTTCTCTCTGTCTCTATTTTCTCTTCACTTAAAAAAAGTCACTGATGATGAAGAAAGAGATGAACTAAATAAACTAATATTTAGTTTCGTTTTCTACTGAAGTGACAAAAAATTGTGTAGCCTTTGTTTTTAGGGTTATTAACAGTTTGTGTACTCAGACCAGTAATATTTGGGGTCACAAGTTTTTGCCATGAATATTTTGTGGGTCAGAAGATAAAAAGTTTGGGAACTTATGTTGGTTTGCTTTTACAACACCTGAACTGAATAAATGGCTGATTAACTGGCTTCTTGCAGAATTTGAAGAGGTAATCTGAATCAGGAAAAACGAGCAGCCAAAACATCCAGGGTAGCGGYCTGGACCAGGACTGGACACCCCTGTTGTTGTAACCAGATCTTCCCTAACATCTTAGCCTCCATTCCTATAGATGTCACTGTGGAACACCTCCTCCCCCGCTGTTTGAACACCTCCCATCCGAGAAAGGGTGTGCGTTGGGAAGGTTGTACAAAGCTAAAACATCCCTCCCAGACAAAACGAGCCTCCACTTGTCTTGACAACCCAAAGGAAGTGTTTGAGTCTGGACTACAGCGCACTCCCTGGAATTTAAAGGGGAAAAAAAAGTCTTATTTCCTCCTGACTGAGCTCAGCCAGGTGCCGCTGTCCTCGCGCCGGGTGACTGGTGGGGGGAAAGATGCCGCACACACGGACACTGACACCCAAAAGTTGACATTCATGCGGGGAAAATGCAGCGCGTCGGATGCGAGGCTTCCCCTCAAGGTCAGTATCCGAGCACCGCCGCCGCCGCCGCCTCGCGGACGAGTTTCTTGGGCAGTCGGAAGGAGCGACGGGAAGACGAGGAAGAAGAAGGGGATGCTGCCGCGTCTCTCTCCGCCTTCAGCATCAACTCTTTCCTGAGGCGCTGACCGGTCRCCGGAGGAGAAAGACACGGGAGAGAAGAGGCGGACAGAAACTTGTGAAACAGGTCTGCGATGAACACATAAAGCCGGCCCGTTTCAACACAGGTCGCGGAGGTTTTAAAAGGGAGAAACTCCTCAGTATCTTTGGCGTTTCCTGCTTCGYTCGAAAGGCGGCCTCTGCGCGCGACCATTCACCTGAGCGACTGAAATGGACCGTAAAGGCAGCTTCACCGACCGGACGAGGTGAACTGGTTCGCGTTTGAAGAACTGGTGTGATATTTCAGCACCGCGCAGCCTGGAGTCCGCTCAACTTCCGTGAACTTGTTTGGGTGTTTGTTTTGTTTTTTTTTTTTTTGGACTTTTTCACCCGACATGCCTGCTTCCAGGGCGGCAGCCCGCGGCGGGAGCCGGGCGGCTCACGGAAGGAGCCTGCCGGAGCTCGGGCTGCTGCTGCTGGTGATGTTCGTGCTGCTGCAGGGTTCCGTGCTTCCTCTGGGAGCTGCCAGCTCTCCGGACACGACCGGCGACGTCAAGAAAGACGAGAGAACCCACACGCAGGAAGCCGGGCACAACARCACGAAAAAGCCTTTCCCGGTGCTCAGCCTGGAGTACGGCCATGTGAAGATCCCCTTTGAAATCTCGCTGTGGGTGCTTCTCGCCTCGCTGATGAAATTAGGTGAGTGTCTTGTCTGAGCTGCTGGGTGGGTTTCAGGAAATACTTGTCTAATAATCTTCTATGAGCCCCGACTAAAGGTGGCAGGACAGCCCAGTTTCTATTAGGGCTGTGTGTTGGCAAGAATTTGGCGACACGATACGATATATCCCGATATATTGCGATACTATAAGCAAGGCGATATATTGTGATTTTTTTTATCCAAAAATTCTATTAAATAAAAACCTCTTACAGGGGAAAAAATGAAAAACCAAAATTCATTGTGTCAGAAAATTCTAATATTACATAGACATGCTTTTGATACATTTAGCTGTGTTCTGCTTAGGGTTGGGCAATATTGGCAAAAAAATTAATCACGATTAATTGTGGTATTTAGCCAATTAATTTGACGATTAATGCCCTGAGTTCCTGGTAGGGCTGCCGCAATTAATCGATAAATCGACGACTAATCGATTATTAAAATAATCGATGACTAATTTAATAATCGATTAG